CCCCAGCCCCCCCGCGCACGCTGGCGCCCCTTCGCCCGCGCGGAGGCGGCAGGAGAAGAAGAGGAGGAGAAGTGGAGTGGAGTGGACGCAATCACAAGGTGATATGCCGCCGCGCCGTGTTTGTCCCGACACGCGGCCCGTCCTGGGGAGGGCTCCTCGGCCACCAGGGCAAGCGCCGCCTCGGGCACAGTGGGTTTGCCGTGGAGTTTGCCGCGATGCCAGCGTCGTCTACTTGGGCGCGGGGAGCAGGGTTTGCCTTGGGTTTGCCGTGGTGTCGGCGTCGCCCACTTGGGCGCGTCGAGAACAAACGGCGCGGCGGCAGATGTCATAAGATGAAGCACCCCAGGCCTGCTAGCGAATGCCTCTGACCCAAACCTGAGGCGCTGCAGCATGGGTGCCAACGCCGCAAGGCGTCAAGACCGTAAGCTATGGATAGGGCGGAGCGCCTCCCGCACTCTTGTTTGAACAGCAGTGTGCAACCGAACGTCTTGCCGTGCTGCGCAAACGAGTAGCCACGCCAGAACCAAACAAAAGTGCACCGCCTAGAATTGGCTTTCGCTCAAGGGCGAGCGAGGGCATTGATTGGACGAGGAGGCACCCGGAAGCGCTCACAGCAGCGAGAGGGAAGATGATCTTGGCGAAGGGCCCAACCGTGTGCAGTTGTGAGTATCGCCGCATCGCCTTCGGTGGATCTCTGTAAAGAGCGTGCCGGAATGGGGCGGGGACGCATGCGGGCGCAGCCATAGGGGCCTTCGGTGGTGCTCCATGTGGGCCGCGAAACGCGTGATGGATGTGCCGAAATGGAGCGGGGCCGCCATGCGAACGTCGCCAGAGGGGCCTCTGGTGGAGTTCCCTATGGGGCCACGAAACGTTGTACTGGGTGGGGGAGACGCATGCGGACACCGCCACTAGGGCCTTCGGTGGGGCTCCCTGTGGGGCCACGAAACGCCGTACTGGGTGGGGGGAACCCATGCGGACACCGCCGCTGGGGCCTTCGGCGGGCTCCCCGTCTGGGGGAACGAAACGTTGAACTGGGCGAGGGAAACGCATGTGAACGCAGCCACGGGTGCCTTCGGTGGAGCTCCCTATGGGGCCGCGAAACGTGCGAGGGGCGTGCCAAAGTGGAGGGGTGGCGGCATGTGAACGCAGCCACTGGGGCATTCAGTGGAGCCCCCTTATGGGGCCACGAAACGTGTGAGGGGCGTGCCAAAGTGGAGGGGTAGCGGCACGTGAACGCAGCCACTGGGGCATTCGGTGGAGCCCCTTTATGGAGCCACGAAACGTGTGAGGGGTGTCCCAAAGTGGAGGGGTGGCGGCATGTGAACGCAGCCACTGGGGCATTCGGTGGAGCCCCTTTATGGTGCCGAAGTGGGAGGGACGGGAGGAGGGAGGAGGGAGAGGAGGAGGATAGGAAGAGAGGAGGAGGAGAAGAGGAGAGGAGGAAGAGGAGACGCGGGGACCGTCTCTTCAAAGGGTTGGCGACAAGGCCAGTCCCAAGCCGAAGCATTACTGCTGGTTGCGCTCGGTCATATCTGCTGCAGTAGGAGTTGGGGTCGACGTGAAAGCGGCTACTCCTTCAGCCGATCTTGACGCGCGGCTGCTGCTCAGGGCTGCCCACTCGATCTTCGGTCCAGTGGGCACGGCGGCATGACTGCCCGAGGATGTCGGGGAACGACCCCCCAACAAGTCGGAGTCTCGGAGGAGCCGCGCTCGCTCCTCACCAGACGCCGGGCGCGAGCGGCGAAGGGCTGGGCACGTGCAGTCGCGCGCGGCGCGCGCAGCCGCGAGCGGCTCGCCCTCGCCGCGCCCGCGCGCACGCCCCGAGGAGGGCGCCCGCGTGCTCTTCGAGAGCGCGTTCGCCGCGGGCAGCGCTGCCGAGGCCGAGTTCCTGTACCCGTACTGGTTCCCCAGCCAGATCTACAGGCTCGCGCGCGCAGGGGGCTGGAGCACGAGGAGGAGGGAGAAGGCGAAGGAGGAGGAGGAGGAGGAGGAGGAGGAGGAGGAGGAAGGCGCAGGAGGAGGAGGAGGAGGAGGGGAGGAGGAGGAGGAGGAGGAGGAGGGAGGAGGAGAGGAGGAGGAGGAGGAGGGGAGGAGGAGGAGGAGGAGGAGGAGGAGGAGGAGGAGGAGCAGGAGGTGGCGGCGGAGGAGGATGGGGCAGGGGGAGGGGGCAAGGGGAGGGAGAGTTTGGGGAAGCTGCTACTCCTGCGACTCCCCCTCCATCCTTGAAGCTTACCCACAGCCGCCTCGCCTACCACCACTCCTTCTCTCATTTCCTTCCTCCCTCTCCCACTCCTCCGCCTTCCCCTCGTCTTCATCCTCATCCGCCCCCTCGAACTCATCCTCCTCCGCCTCCTGGCCATGTCCCTCGACCTCCTCCATTTTCCTCCACCCTCGATGTCCTGTCCCGTCCTCCTCATCATGCTGCTCATCCTCCTCATCCTCTCCCCCCCACACACACACTACTTTTACCAAACGCATGAGAATCATCGACCACCACCACCCCCGCGCCTGAGCAACCTTATCAGCCCTGAGCCAGCCTCCACAGAACTCGCACCTTTCACAGGGTGCCGATTGGTCCGCTGACATGGCCTGTGGGTGGCGTCGTTCTTTGCAAATTCTGCACGCGCCTACAAGCTTGGCTACAGACCAGCTGCACCCCCCTCCCCCGCAACCTGCGTGAATCTACCAGCCCACTAAGCGAGAGGACCTCCGTCTGTGAAAATCCGATCCATATGTGTGTGTGTGTCTCTTGGTGCCCTCTTGGAGGTCCTCATGATGCTCTCTTGGGCCGTCTTGGGAGCCCCTGGGCCGGGGTTGAGGCCATCTGGTGTTTTCTTGAACGTATCTTGGGCCGCCGCGGAGCAATTCTAGACCGTCATGAAGATTCTTTGGACGATCTGTACACACCTTGGAGCTGTCCACGGCCAGATGAGTCCGCTGGGGCCCAGATGAGTCCGCCAGCCGCATCAGCCGAAGCCCCCTCCCTTCAAACCAGCTGGACCAGGCCCCCGGGGGAGGAGTTTAGGGAAGGGCGCTACTTCCACACGCCTTCTAAATCATAATGGGTCGGCGACGTTGCGTTGTGCCAGGCACTTCCCCACGGCATAAATCTGTTATTGTGACGGCCTTACGGCCAGTGCCGCCGACCTTGAAGAGGGACGACGACGACAACGGCGATGACGACGACAACGCTGACGCTCTGGAGCCGAAAGCTTCTCCCAGGGAGGGGTGCTCGCCCCTAAGGGGGTGTCACAACCCCTCGAACCTCCCCTCCCGCCCAAATCGGGCGGGCGGTAAGGGGGGGTGACATAAAGCTGGGGTGGAGAAAGGGCCCCCAAGGGGCACTTCAGCGCCCTTTTCTTCCCCCCTCCATTTAGGCCACCCCTCATAACCACCCGCCCCCTCGGGCCCCCCCTCCCCAGGGCCATCCCCCACCCGACCACCCCATCCCCCCAGCAGGAGGAGGAGCAGGAGGAGGCGGAGGACCATCCCCTCCCAGCGGGGGGGGATCAAAGGAAGGGGCTCCCCCCTCGACTCGAATCACGACGTTGCTCCGTTTCCCTCTGGCTGGAGCGCTCGAGGGGGAAGCGGCGACGACGACGGTTCGAACGGAAAAGCTTCTCACACACGCTGACAGGGTCGGCGGATTTCAGTTGGCACTACATCAGGGCAAGGATCATAGTCTTGGGCTTCTTGGCACCGCTGGTCAACCCACCGCATGCCTCACAATACGGATTGGACGTACAGGCCACCAAGCCACCCCACATGTGTATGATCATGGTGTGGCTGCGCATTCTTAGCTACTTGATATAATCCTGCCGACGTGCGCGGCCAAAGCTTGGAGGATTCAGGCGACACAACGCGGAAGCATCTCATACAGCGGAAGTTGCAGCTATTCCACAGTGTGGCAGCAGCAGTGACCCCGAGATGGTTTTTGGACTTGAGCCATATCGGCGAAGGAACGGAAATCCAAAGTGCTGAACCTAAACGACGAAATCTGGGCACCAGTCACATGCCCCAAACTTTCTTGTAGGTTCAGCTATCCCTAAATTGGAAAGCCGTCCCTGAAACTCTGCATCGAGTCTTCTGCTCGATCCGCTTCTTACCTGAAACTATGATAATGAATTCCGGGAACGTCCTGTCATTGAAACAGGCCCTCCATGCTACCTCTGCTGCTGTCCCCGGCCGCCGGAGGAAGGAGAGAGGAAGGAGAGAGGGGAGGACCAACCACGACACCACCACCGCCACCAGGATCCTGGGACTGGAACTCCTGCCAAGAGATCATGCTGGACGACTGGTCGAGAACCTTCCTGGATGCTGCTTGGGTCCTGCTCTTGAGTCCTGGGTCGTCTCGTCTACGCTCGACTTCTGCCCCCTCGTCCACAAGAATGATACGGCCACTCGACATAAGATCGAACAACGCGGCGTTGCATTTGCCAACGTCGTCCTTGGTAAGCGCGTCTACCGGCATCCGGCCATGCGGTATCCACCGAACACGACCCTGTGCCTTCTCTAGAGCTTCGCATATTATGGCGAGGTCCACGGCAGTACGACGGTCTTTGGCTGAAGCATTGCCTTCTTTCATCATTGTGTCGTAGATAGACTTAGCGTCTACTACGTGAAGCTGCGTTTCCCTGGAACCCAGACGACAGTTGTGCCTAAGCACGGTAGTGAACGGTCCCGAACCACGATGATGATCTCGGACACTGACATCTCCAAAGACCACGTCTCTATATAGGATTTGTAGGTACTCCACTTCGGCGACCGCAGCTGCCAACGCCTGAGTCTCCCCAGCTAGTGTCGAGGGTACCTTCCGCCGGAGTTTCGAGCTGCGCCATCCTAGGATGGACGCTCGCACGGACCGATTGGACAACACGCTCTTGTCGCACGCAAGGATCATCCACGCTCCCTGAGTGGGATCTTCTGGCAGTCCTTTCTCGTCCGTGAGGTTGTCGAATGCTCCGACCCCTCCGGCGTCAGAGAACGACATGAATGACATCTGCTCGGGATCTAGCTTCCACACGATCAAGCCTCGTGAGGCCGAGGAGCGAAGGTGTCGAACTAATTTGTTCGCCAGGGAGATGTCTCCTGTCGTAGCTGCTTTTAACCGGCTGGCCAGTATGCTGGCGACTCCGGCAGCCTCTGGCCTAGTTTCTCGCCCTATCCAATTGAACTTGTACACTAAGGAACGAAGGGCCTTGAATTCTTCGGACTCAAGAGGTAGGTCACGTCTGGCTAATCTTCCCTTTTGTACCGTGACCGGTCGCACCTCCTCTAGAATATACTTCTCCATGTCGACAGTGGCACGCTGAGGTCCGATCGTGATCCTTCGTCCGGCATAGTCCACGGGACCGCTGTGGCAGTCTCGATATTTGCCGAACTTGAAACGTGCTTCTAATAGTTCACGCAGCCACCGCCGCGAACTCTCTGAGGACGAGCCGATGAAGAAGTCGTCTACTTCTAGGAGAATCATGTTGAGCACCTCACCCTTAGAACCGTACCGCACGTACCAGCACGGCTCGAGTAAGCTCCTAGTAAACCCGTGTTGGCCCAAGTAACTAACGATCGTCTTTCTCCAGGCCATGGGCGCATCGTCTAGACCGTACACGTTGACACGCAGGAGAATAAGAGATCCAGCAGGAAGGTCGATGCCTTCGCACGGTTCGACGTAGATCTGTCCCTGACTCCTAACCATGGGGTCGCTCTGACAAAAGGCGTTCTTCACGTCGGCAATATCGGCCCGGAGCCCCAGATTCATGATGACCTGAAGGAACATCATGATGCTCGAGGTCTGTGGTGTTGGAGCGTATACTAGCAGGGAACCAGAATCAGGGTCACGGTGACCGTGTACGCACCAACGTGATTTGGCCTCTGGGTCTTGGAAGGTGCCCTCCACCGGCTTCCACCGGCGCACCATCCTCGAAGAGATGATGCGATCCGGCAATTGCTTCCGAACGACTTCCGCCTTGGAGGGGGGAATAACTTCCACGGCACCGGTACCAAGCATGGCCTTCCACTCCTTGCTGTCTGATAGGGCAAACTTCTCTCTCTCGGCGGGGGTCAGCTTCTTCAAGTTTATCTCTCCCCCGCGGCTGGCCGCGAAGTCCCCTCCTTCAGACGACACCACTCCGGACCATCCCTCCTGGACCCCCAGCTCCGAGCTCAAACTCCTGGCCTGGACACCTTCACCACCACCATCACCGAGGGGGGAGATGAGGAAGTCCTCCGCCGCTCCGTCCGCCGGCGCCTCGCCGCGGGGAGGTGAACGGCTCCGGCCTCTGGGCCTGCCGGCCTCGAGGTCGTGGATCATGTCCTGGACCGGCCTCCGAGGACCAGCCGAGCTGGAGCTCACTCCTCGCGTGACCCCCTCTCCCCTTGGTTCGGCCGGACCTCGGGCGCCGGTCGGAGACGGCAGTGTCGGCGGAGGTGGAGGAGGAGGAGGAGGAGCGGGGAGGCCGGGAGGAGGTTCCACCCTCAGCCTCTTGACCTCGGGAGGGCTGCTGCTAGCCCTGGAGAGGTCCGTCCTCTGCTGACTCATTCCCCTCAAGATGCTCACGGGCACGTCGTCTGGCTGTCGCAGACGCGCCCTCGGAGTGGACTGACTGGAGCCTCCCGGACCCGTGGGAGAGCCCGAGTGAGGCGAGGGGACCAGGTGAGGAGAAGGACGGGAAACGGGGAGGGGAGGGGGAGAGGAGGAGACAGGAGGGAGAAGAGGAGAGACATCCCCAGTAGCTCCGGCTCCTGGCTCCGCCTTGCCCGGCTCGGCCGGGGCATGACCACTCTCCCTGACAGGCTGGTCGGAGACCTGTCTGGACGGGCCTCCCGAGCCCCCGCGCGAGTCCCCGGGACACTCGCTTCCGCCGGCCGAAGAGGGGAGCCTAGTCGAGCCCGCCTGAGCTTCCGCCGAGCCACCCTCGGAGGGA